TAGAATTGCAGGCCAATATCCCTGATGAACATAGATGCTAAAATCCTCAACAAAATATTAGCAAATTGCATTCAGCAATATATTAAAAAGATCATTCACCATGATCAAATGGGATTTATTCCAGGGATGCAAAGCTGGTACAATATTTGCAAATCAATAAACATGATACTTCACATAAACAAATTCAAAGACAAAAACCACATGATCATATCAATAGATGCAGAAAAAGCATTAGACAAAATCCAACATGCATTTTTGATAAAAACTCTCAGGGAAGCTGGAATAAAAATAGCATATCTCAACATGATTAAGGCCATATATGACAAACCTACAGCCAACTTCATACTCGGGCAAAAACTAAAACCATTTCCTCTAAGAACAGAAACAAGACAGGGATGCCCACTTTCACCACTCCTGTTCGACATAGTACTGGAAATGCTAGCCATAGCAATCGGACAAGAAGAAAAAATAAAAGGCATCCAAATTGCAAAAGGAGTAAAATTGTCATTATTCGCAGATGATATGATATTGTACAAAGAAAACCCCAAAGACTCCATCAAAAAACTACTAGAGTTAATAAATGAATTTGGCAATGTAGCAGAGTACAAAATAAACACCCAGAAATCTACAGCTTTTTTATACACCAACTAGATGCCACAAAATTCGTGCACGGGGTGGCGGGGGGGGTAGTCCCGCAGCCCAGCCTGCACCCTCACCAATCAGGGACCCCTTGGAGGATGTCCGTCTGCCAGTTTAAGCAATCGGACATCCCTCTCACAATCCAGGACTGCTGGCTCCTAACCACTCGCCTGCCTCCCTGATTGCCTCTAACCACTTCTGCTTGTCAGCCTGACCGCCCCTACTGACCTACCTGCCGGCCTGATCGCCCCCAACTGCCTGCTTCCAACTGCCCTCCCTGCCGACCTGATCTCACCCCCAACTGCCAACCCCTGCTGGCCTGATGGCCCCCAACTGCCAACCCCTGCTGGCCTGGTTGCCCCCAACTGCCCTCCCCTGAAGGCCTGGTCGCACCCAACTGCCCTACCCTGCAGGCCCAGTCACTCCCAACTGCCCACCCCTGCCGGCCTGATCTCGCTCCCAACTGCCTTCTCCTGCCGCCCCGATTGCCCCAATTGCCCTCCCCTGCTGGCCTGATGGCCCCCAACTGCTCTCCCCTGCAAGCCTGGTCGCACCCAACTGCCCTCCCCTGCAGGCCTGGTTGCCCTTAACTGCTCTCACCTGCCAGCCTGATCTCCACAACTGCCCTCCCCTGCCGACCATCTTGTGGTGGCCATCTTGTTACAGCCATCTTATGGTGGCCATCTTGTGGCAGCCAGCTAGTGGTGGCCATCTAATGAAGGCCATCTAGTGGTGGTCATCTTGTGGCTATGTGAGGGTGGCCATCTTGTGGTGGCCATTTTGTGACAACGTTGCACGAGGGCGTCATGCGACACCACCTAGGCTTTTATTATATAGGATAATGAACTCAAAGAAAGAGAAACTAAAAAAAAAAATTCCATTTACCATTGCACCAAAAAAAAAATGAAGATACCTGGGAATAAACTTAACTAAGGAGGTAAAAGACCTATGCTCGTAAAACTACAGGATGTTGAAAAAAGAGATAGAGGAAAACATAAACAAAGGAAGAATATACAAAGTTGGAGGGATAAAAATACCAGATATCAAGCTGTATTACAAAGCCACTGTTCTCAGAACTGCCTGGTATTGGCACAAGAACAGACACATAGACCAATGGAACCAAACAGAGAACCCAGAGATGGACCCAAGCCATTATGCTCAATTAATATTTGACAAAGGAGGCAAGAATATACAATGGAGTTAAGATAGTCTTTTCAATAAATGTTGCTGGGAAAATTGGACAGATACATGCAAAAAAATAAAACTAGACCACCAACTTACACCATACACAAAAATAAACTCAAAATGGATAAAAGACTTAAATGTAAGATGGGAGACCACAAAAATCTTAGAAGAATCCATAGGCAGCAAATAGCAGACATATGCCATAGCAATATCTTTACTGATACAGCTCCTAGGACTATGGAAACTAAAGAGAAAATAAACAAATGGGACTACATCAAAATAAAAAGCTTCTGCACAACAAAAGAAACCATCAACAAAACAACAAGAAAGCCCACTGCATGGGACAACATATTTGCCAATGCTATCTCTGATAAGAGTGTAATCTGTAAAATTACAGGGAACTCATACTACTTAATAAAAGGAAGATAAACAATCCAATAAAAACATGGGCAAAGGACCTAAATAGACACTTTTCAAAAGAGGACATAAGGAAGGTCAAGAGATATATGAAAATATGCTCAAAGTCACAAATCATCCAAGAGATGCAAATCAAAATGATAAAGAAGTACCATCTCACACCTGTCAGAATGGCTATCATCAACAAATCTACAAATGACAAGTGCTGGTGAGGATGCGGAGAAAAAGGAACCCTCGTGCACTGCTGGTGGGAATGGAGACTTCTGCAACCACTGTGGGAAACAGTATGGAGTTTCCTCAAAAAATTAAAAATGGACCTCTCATTTGACCCAGGAATCCCACTCCTATGAATATATCCCAAGAAATCAGAAATACCAACCACAAAGGATATATGCACCCCTATGTTCATAGCAGCACAATTTACAATAGCTAAGATTTGGAAACAGCCTAAGTGCCCATCAGCAGATGAGTGGATTTAAAAACTGGGGTACATCTATACAATGCTATACTATGCTGGAGTAAAAAAGAAGGAATTCTTACCATTTGCAACAGCATGGATGGACCTGGAGAACACCATGCTAAGAGAAATAAGCCAGTCAGAGAAAGATAAATATCATATGATCTCACTTATTTGTGGAATATAATGAACAACATAAACTGATGAACAAAAATAGAGCCAGAGGGAAAATAATATTCTAGAATATAATAGAAGTAATCCTGTTATTTGCAGATTTTTAATATTTCCTACAACTTTTGTGATATACTGTTAGTACAGTCTTGGTAATATTATTATACTTAAAATCCTTTTATTCTTGAAATACTCATCTTTATTGCATGTAATATTATTATCTGTAAGATCATTTTTCTTGAATAATTGGTGTTTACTGCTTATAATATTATCATATTTAACATCATTTTTCTTGGATTATTAATGTTTATTGCATGTAACATTATTATATTTAAGATCATTTTACTTGAAATATTAAGATTTATTGCATGTAACATTACTATATTTAAAATGTTTTTCTTGAAATAAAAAAAAAACTGAAAAAAAAGAATTATATAACTCTATTTCATATGCTTTTCCTTGCATGATGATTAAAACTTTATGTTTTGAAAACTACGTGCTATTTATAATTATCGTAGATAGATATGTGTCTATTAATAGCTATATACTAGGGCTATAGATACAGATTAAAGCTGAGAAATCTTAGATTTTTAAGTTGACAGATTATGTATATACTAAAGGCCTGGTGCACGAAAATTTGTGTACTGGGGGGAGGGTCCTTCAGCCCGGCCTGCGCCCTCTCACAGTCTGGGAGCCCTCAGGGGATGTCCAGCTGCAGTCTGGCCTCCCTCCACAGGAGGTGACCAGTGGGCGGTGAGCGGCCAGCCCCATCCCCCATTGCACCACCGCCACTATTGTCCTCCCTCTGCAGGAGGCAACCCCGGTGGGCCTATCTGGGGATGCTGAGTGGCCAGCCCCACCCCAAATCGCCCTTCCATGGTCGCTGGTGGCCTCTCTCTGCGGGAGGTGACCAGGCAGGCAATCAGGGGATGATACCAGCCCCCACCCCCCAACGCTGGTCATCGCTGCCCCTCATCACCGTCCCCTCCCTCTGCCCACTGGCACATGCCTTGGCTGGCCTGGCACCACCTGCTCACCAGCCCCGCCCCCCGCCCCCCGCCGAGGTCATTCTGCCATTCAGTCGATTTGCATATTACACTTTTATTATATAGGATAGGGTGGGTTAGTAGAGCATAATAGATTTCTCATGTACTTTACTTGGCAAAATAAAAACAGTAACTAACATTCACTGCTAACCATTCTATCTGTTATGAGAAATAATTGTGTTAATATACGTAAACATACCTGGCACTTAATAAACACTTATTAAAGGTAGGCCCTAGCTGGTGTTTTAAGTGGTTAGAGCATTGGCTCACACACTGAAGGGTCAAGCACACATACCTGGGTTGCAGATTCAATCCCCAGCCCTGGCCAGGCCAAGTTGTGGGAGGCAACCAATTGATTCTTTCTCTCTTTCTCTCGCCCCCCACTTCCTTTCACTCTCTCTAAAATTCAATGGAAAAAATATCCTTGGGTGAGGATTAACAATAACAACAAAAAAGGTGGGCTATTAGTACAAGTATTAATACTACTAGTAGTGGTAGCAGTAGTATTAATAAGGGAAGATTTAATATCATTATAAGCTGTTACAGATGGTGTCTTTTCTCCATTTCAATTCAGTTAAATGAAAATAGCTATAGACAAGTGATGTGGTTCAATACTAAATAAAATCACAGATCAGGCTGTAAAATAATTTGTACCTCTGAAATTTCAAATTCTAAGAACTACAACTCTGTGTGCAATAAGTTTTTAGGTTAAAATTTTTATGAAATTCTTCTTTAAAAATATCTACAGAAAATTTTAAAATTCCAAATTTTATAGGCATCTGATATATCATAATTTCACTCATCTTTACATAGAAAAATAGGACAAATATAATGGACAAACATCACATTTGTGATTATAACTAACAATAAAAACTTGTAATTTTTATCAGGTTATTTTCTATTTGACTTCCTTATAGGCAATTAATTAGAATTGAAAGTTTATAAGGTGTAGAAAATAATTTAGTGTGAGTTCCCTCAATTTGCTCCTTCCTATTTGTTCATTCCACAAATGTAACTATAGTGTGTCCCCACCGATGAAGAAAATGATAATTTTCCAAATAAATTGACATTAAATTTTATGATACCTGTTTTGTTCAATCAAAATTTTTAAAGTCCTTGGATTTGTCAAAACAACATCTGCATCCACACTGAAGTAATAATCACAGCTGTCATCCTGACGGCAAAAATCCCTGACATTGAAAGAGAAATAAAAATTAGAAAAATATTTATTTGCTGTTGAAAAATGTTAATAAAAAGCTTATATGTAAAATAAAGTTTCTCTAACAGTTTTCTAAGATAATATTCAAAAGGATAAATATTGTATTGAACTTCAAAATGGTCAATTTATCAACACAGATGTTCACAGATAGATCAACATTAAAAATTTTAGGCAGGTAAAATATGTTTTCAACCAGTAAATATTTTAGGACATAAATCAATCAGTCAGAATGGCAATTTATAATTTATAATTAAATCCTCTCTAAAAGGCAAAAATAATTTACCCCAATGTATTTATTAACAATTTTGTAAAAAAAAAAAAGTTTTTGCACATGCACACTGCACACAAATACACACACATGCACATTGCAAAATATGGTATATCCACCAGCTCAGCTTTTACTGAATCCTGGAGATACAAGTCAATGACTCTTTAGATATTAATACTTTTGGAAGTTGACTTCATTTGATTTTTTTCTTAGATTGTTACTCCTCTGCTTCTTAATAGAAATGCTGACTATTATGAATGCTTTTCTTGGTAGTTTGCAGTGTCCTATCAAGACACCATGGAATGAATCACCTATGATACATGAAATTCTTCCCAGTATTATGGTTCTACATTTTGGGCCCTCTCTTTTCTGGGCCCCCCGTTATCACTTTCAGGTATTGTCAATGTGTATCTCCACACTGCATTTGTTTCTAAGCAACTATCAAACCACTACACCAGGCAGTAAATTTTTACATGTAATTTTTAAAAATAAGTTTTAAATATGGACTCAAGGATACTCCAATAAAGAAGTTTTGGAACTGAGGAACCAAGATGGTGGCATAGGTAAATGCTGATACTTGGATCCTCCCACAAACACATCAAAATTACAACTAAAATACAGACCTACCATCATTCAGAACTGCCTAAAATTTGGCTAGATGGAAGTCTGACAACTAGAGGAGTAAAGAAGAAAACACATCAAGACTAGTAGGAGGGGTGGAGGCATGCAATGAGATGGTCTGACACCCACAGGTTGTGTCTTTTGAATCACGAGGGATATCTTGGCAGAGGAGGCCTCCCATGAGAAGCAAAGGGTCCCAGCCCCACATCAGACCCCTCAGCCCAGGATTCCAGAGCTGGGAAGAGAAGTCCCCATAACTTCAGGCTATAAAACCCAGTGGGGATTGTGGCTGAGTGATTCGGAGGCTACTGGAGAACCAGGCAGCTCCTCTTAAAGGGCCAGCACACAGACTTACTTGGATTAACTCCCTCTGAGCTCCAGTGCTGGGGAAGCAGCTTTAAAAGATCCAGAGACATACAGGGAGGAACTAAATTGTGTGGCATCAGGGCAAGAATTCGGGACAGCTTTCTCCCAGACAAAAGTGCTGGGATCTCCCACCAACCGAGCTGACTGACAGACACCAAATCTGAGTATCCATCAGCCTGGCCCACGCTGTTTGCCCCACCCTGGTGATTCCCTGAGATCCTGCTCCACCCATTGGCAGCCATACCCAATATGTTTGCAGTGGCTTTTCCATATGAATGACCTGTTATGGACTCAGGCTTCGGACTTTCCTAAAATCTCTCAAATAAGGAACAGCTGTACTCTGTATGCTCAATACCTCTTGATAAGTGGCCCGCCAACCCTAGCAGCAGTTTGCCAAGGTTCACAGCTTGGTTTCTCCTGAGCACTTCCTAGCATAACACAAATAGCAGCCATCTGTAGATCGCTCTGTAGCTCAGGCTGGGTGGTCCCAGGCAGTGGCTGACTTGGTACCTCTGGGGAGGCCCCAGAGCCAGTGAACCCAGTGGACAGCTTCAGACTGCACCAGATTACAACTCTACCACATCTATGAGCCACATACTCAAGGGGTAAACTCAGTGAACACCAAATCCCCACTGAAGGAAGTCCAGTTCCATAAGGGTGTTTTCTGTACAGCAGCTCTTTACAGTAGGTCCTCACAGCCAATTGCCCTGGAGGTCAATTCCTCCCAGTGATGGCAACAGCAATTAAGCCTCAACTACAATAGGACAGTGCACACAGCCCACACAAGGGCATACCTAAAGTGCCCAGCTCAGGTGACTGGGGAGGCTGAGCCACTGGGCCCCACAGGACACCTACTACACAAGGCCACTCTACCAATTCCAGGAGACAAAGCAGCTCTACCTAATAAATAGAAACAAACATAGGGAAGTAGCCAAAATGCAGAGGCAAAGAGATATGTCACAAACAAAAGAACAGAAGAAATCTCTAGAAAAAGAACTAAATGCAAGCAAACTACTAGATTCAGAGTTCAAAACAATGATTATAAGGATGCTTAAGGAACTTAATGAGAGCTTCAAGGAAATTAGTGAGAATGTCAAGGAACTTAGTGAGAATTCCAAGGAAATTAGTGAGAACATCAAAGACTTGAAAAAGGACCAGTCAGAAATGAAGGATACACTAACTAAAATAAAGAATAACTAGCAGGGAATCAATAGTAGAGGACACTGAGAATCAACTCAAAGATTTGGAATATGAGGAATCAAAAACACCCAATCAGAAGAGCAAAAAGAAAAAAGAATCCAAAAATATGAAGATAGTGTAAGGAACCTCTGGGACAACTTCAAGCATGCCAACATTCACACAATGGGGGTGCTGAAAGGAGAAGAGAGGGACCAAGATATTGAAAACCTATTTGAAGAAATAATGACAGAAAACTTCCCCTACCTGGTGTAAGAAATAGACTTACAAGTCCAGGAAGCTCAGAGAGTCCCAAACAAGAGGAATCCAAAGAGGACCACATCAAGACAAGGGTTAAAGACAAAGAGAGAATATTAAAAGCAGCAAGAGAAAAGCAGTTAGTTACCTATAAGGGAGTGCCATAGGACTGTCAGATAATTTCTCAACAGAAACTGCAGTCCAGAAGGGAGTGGCAAGAAATATTCAAAGTGATGAATGGCAAGGGACTAAAACCAAGATTACTCTACCCAGCAATGCTCTCATTTAGAATTGAAGGTCAGATAAAGAGTTTCACAGACAGGAAAAAGCTAAAGGAGTTCATTACCACCAAACTAATGATACATGAAATGATGAAGGGTATTCTTTAAGAAGAGGGAGAAGAGAAAAAAAGGTTAAAAATATGAATAATAAAATGGCAATAAATACATTTTTATCAACAACTGAATGTAAAAATCAAAATAAATGAACAAAGAATCCAATGAACAAAATAAACTGATGAATAAAATAGAACCAGAGGCACGGAAACATGAAACAGACTGATGAATCTCAGAGGGAAGGGGAAGGGAAGGTGGGAAGAAATTAACCAAAAAACTTATATGCATATATGCATTACCCATGGCACAAAGAATAGAGTGGTGAAGGCCTGGGGAGAGGCAGAATGTGGTTGGAGGAGGGCAAAGCGGGTGGGGGAGAAGGGGCAACATTTGTAATACTCTCAACAGTAAAGATATTTAAAAGTTATAGAACTGTTAGTAAAAGCATCAGTTTGGTTTTTCTGAGATCTGTTTTCCCACATACATCGCCTTCTTCCCCCGGCAGTATCCATCCCACTGAGCCTTAAGCTTTCCCAGCACAGAACAGGAAGTCACCAGGACTTATTTGCTTTTTCATTAGCAGCTATTAACCCACTGCCTGGAATATTCAATTAACATTTACTGAATAAAAGTCTGTTTTTTAAAAAATATATCTTTATTGATTCAAAGAGGAAGAGAGAGGGAGAGATAGAAACATCAATGATGAGAGAGAATCATTGATTGGCTGCCTCCTGCATGTCTCCCACTATGGATCAAACCTGCAACCCAGGCATGTTCCCTTGACTGGAATCGATCCCAGGACCCTTCAGTCCTCAGGCCAACACTCTATCCACTAAGCCAAACCAGCTAGGGCAAAGACTGTTTTTACTATTCAAATAATTTTATTAGTAATCTGTCTGAAGTATCAAAAGGGCTAAACAAAGGACCTAAAATATTTCTTCTGTTACAGTATCTTCTAGATTAGTAGGTAACTAAAATGTAGGAATACCCTTTTCCCCCTTAGTCGAAGACACTCATTTTTACCACACACATCCTTCAGATAATAAACATTTAAATCACTGCTTACATAAGTCATACTATACATTTGTCTGAGTATTTTTAAAAATCTTGATCTGTAGTTTAATTAAAAGTTTGATTAAATATGTAGTCTCTTAGCCATTAAAAGAAAAAAATGTAAGTAACTTCCATGGTCCTTTAAATACAATTGCAGATAGAGTCTAACAGTAGAGGGTGTTCACACCTGCGCGTGCATGTGCGCATGCATGTGCGCACGCGCGCGCGCGCACAAACACACACACACACACACACACACATAATTGAGACATCCAAGTTTAGGGTACTAATTTTTTCTAAGTTTATTTAGTAGAAATTATTTAAATTAAATTTATGAAAACATACATTCCCATGTTTCTGGCTTCGGCTTGACTTAGATTTTCTTCTGGTCCTACTATTTTTATAGTACTGATTTCATGTTTAGCTTTATCAAAAAATACCTTGATGTGCTTTTCATGATAAACTTCCTGTAACAAAATTTTAAAATATAAAATTAGTGAGAAAAGAAGACAAAATAAGATGACTTAAGTATTCATATGTAGGGGTGGGTTCACATTCAAAGAGGTGAATTCCACAATGCACGTATTCACTCACAGACCAAATGATAACCAAATTAAGCATGTTTCATTTAAATATCATCTAAATGTCACATATAGAAGCTCAAATAAATACATATCAATATTTTTTAAAGAGAAAATATCTCAATATTATTTTAACATTTACTCCTAGACAGGTGCTTACATAAATATTTAAATACTGGGTTCTATGAAGTGTTTCTAACTGGGAGTGTGTGTGGGGGGTAGTGGTGTGGAAATGGCTTACGGGCTGAGAATGTTAGACATGTGTTATAAAATAGCCATTAAAAATGCATATTAAACCTAATAAATATTAATCTAAGTTATAAATAATTTTATGAAATACATATTTCAATCTTCTGTGAAGTTAGAGGAACAAAAATAATGGCATATATAAAATTGTGAATATCTTTTATTTTACAAAAACAGTATTTAATAAAATTTTATTGATGGGAAAACTATCAACATAAAACCATCAAATTAGTTTCATTAAACTGTGCTAAAACTTCAATAAGATTTTGTCTCCCTTAGAGCATTTCAGAGCTTTTTATGTGTCAAGTCTCAGTAAGTATTTTTAAAAGTTTTTCATAGATTGTTAAAACTACTTGAAGCATAAAAACTACATAGAGTTAATTTTTCCTTCCTTCCTATGAAAGGAAAGAAAGCATAAATAAAAGACAATGCAGGGTGGGACAAATGTAAGCTTACAGTTTTTTATATGGAAAATAATACAATAATTAATAAATAATAAGAATAAACTCTGTGTTTCACATACTCACAACTGTAAACTTTTGCCCCAAAATATTATCTGGAAAAGGCAAATGATTAGCTGACATTTACATTAGGAAGAAAGAATAGTGGTAAACAAAAAGTATTAGGACAGAAGAGAGAAAACAGCATACTTAACTGCTAATGCGTTTTTCTAGATGATGTTAAATACTAACTGTTTTAAACAGGAAAGCGGCAAGTATGGAAAAGTATTGGAAAAAAATGTCATTAAGTTCAGATTATATGTGAGAGGTGTTTGGGAAGCTCTGAATATTTCTGAAGGAAATGAAACTAATCCTTTGGGGAAGAGCATGCCGTTGTACAATTAATCAAAACAATACTCTAGCTGCAAGATATTTCAAGTTCTAATGTTATGGTGTTACTATTAGCTGCAAACAATTTAATGATAGATTCTAAAAACGAAGTGCCAGAACTAATACAAAGGTAAAGCAATATAAAGACCTCTGACATCTCTTTATTACATATTAAGTTGAGCCATTGGAAATGGCTGATATTCAACAATTTTTGATCTACAAAGTGTGTTAGTTTCATGAGGCTTATCCCAATATTATTATACTAGTTTCTAGACTCTTATCCTTAGGTCTTAAAAAATCAGGGCAGTAATTACTCCAAAAAGCCCCTACTTATTTTAGATGATTGGATTTTTTCAAACACAAATAGATAATAACAAATAGTTCCAAAGGAAAAAAAATATTTAAAAGATTTAATTTAAAAATACTTTTTACATAAATTATTAATGTCTCAAATACTTACTTTGTTATGAATAAAGACTTTAAGTGCTTCTTTTGGGTAATCCAGTGTCAAAAGTATGTCCAGAAATCGAGGTAGGAAAGGGGTTGGTTGCTCAATAAAAACACCTATTGTTACATTTGGGTAGACCTTTGTTTTATAGCAAACATAAGAAAAATTATCATTAGTTTGATTTTAATTTAAATTCTATTCAAGTCTTACTCAGAACACCAAACATACTAGAATATCAATTCAATGTAATTTGCTAAATTTGAGTGGCCCAATGGCAATTCTCTAATTCTTGAAATACATTTTTGTAGACCCCATCAAAGTGATTGCTTTTACTCCATCACACATTGGCATCATGAATTAGGTTTGAAAAGGAAATTCACTATCATATTTATTACACAGATATCATTAAGGATATAGCCTACTCTACAATTGAAAGCTTCCTTTATGGTAGGTCATAAAGAAACTTCTTTCAAATCTGAATCTATTTGTACATCATCATAGAAACCAGAATACTAATTGGGTTTCTCCTTTTGTTTCCATGGCTTACAAGTTCAGTGGTTAGTTTGTAGAAATAAAGGTCCTGAGCCTTTATTTCTCTCCTTGAATATCTCTTTTAATAGAATTTATTATATATAATCTAATTTTCATATATATATATATATTTTTTTTTCTTATATAGGAAATGAAGTGCTACTGTCTTCATTGTATAAAAACAAAGTACTATTTTACTTCATAATTATTTTCTATACTAATAAAAGGGTAGTATGCTAATTAGACCAGACATCTTCCTGACGACCTTCCGGAAGTCCTTCCTGACAATGCCAGGCCGGGTGCTGTGGCTGTGGCCAGCCCAGGAGAAGCCGCTCACAATCCCGGGCAAAGAAGTTTCCTGAGGTCCTGGGCAAAGAAGCTGCCAGTGGTCCCAGGCGAAGAAGTCGCTCTGCTGACCAGCCTCCGCCATGGACCTGTTTGGGGACCTGCAGGAGCCCAAGCGCTCAAGGGCTACAGGTAAGTGAGGAGCCGCCCTGCTGGCGAGGAGAAGGGGAGAAGGGCTGTCTAGAGGCTGCGGCGCCTGAGGTGGTTGGAGGGAGGAGAGGGCAGGCAAGCGTGCTTGCCTCAGGCCCGGCCCCAGCATGCTTGGAGGCTTGGAGCGCTCTGCCATGTTTGCTGCTTTGGAAGATCCACAGCCTTTGTGTGCGGCCCCCATGTGCTGGCAGCCCAGCTTCGGGTTGCTCAGCATCAGCCTGGCGCAGAGCCTTCGCATGTGGCGTGGCGTCTAGGGCCTCTAGCCCTCAGCCCTCCGGCCTGGGTCTGAATCGCTTTTCCCTTGAGCAACATTTTTCTGTGCTTGTGTACAAGTTCAGGGTTTGGTTTTATTCAGGGTTACCCCAGAGATTGAAGGAATTGCCAGCGTTATCTTTCGTGTTTTTGAATCATCCTCTGTGCTTCTGTTTTTTCAGTTGATAGTAGTTTCCCGGGTCACGGGAAGTCTCCCTCTCTCCAGAGTCAGGAGCACCAGCCCAGGTCCACCCATCAGCTGAGCCCTGACCACGGGGGTGAGTTCCTGCAGGCTGGGGTTTGATCCCCACGAATTAGCTGTAGGAGACCAGTGCCTTTGTTATTGCTGTGTGTCCGGGTTTTAATTGGACAAATGCCAGCTTAGCAAAATCTTGCAGGAGGAGAATTCTGTTTGGGTTTCCCCAAATTCCCTCAGCCCCTACTCACCCCTCTGTAAAGGCATAGAACAAGTGAGGCCCCTTAAATAAAATTCAGAGGTCTCCAGCAATGGTGGGCATCTCTCATCACAGGCATTTGGACTGGATGGCATTTGAGTATTTATCTAGGCACCATGACAGAGAAACACAAGCTCAAGTCATGATCTCTGCCCTTAAATAATTCACAGTCTTATTAGAGCGAGTGGATGATAAAAGCACAGTAATGACATCAGAATGTAAGGCAACAATACAGAGAGGAACAGAGGCAATTGCTAGGGTGATTTTCCAACAATTAGTACAAAGAGTATGTGCTATGAATTAAATAAAAAAATATGTGTGCAAGTAGCTGCTTCACGAGTATGACATCCCTTCCTATTTTAAAGGAAGCTGAGTTCCATGTGAATTGTGTACTATGCTATGATATTTGAGGCACAGAACAAGGGAGGCCCTAAGTGTAATATGCTTTGATATTTGAGACATTCTTTATTGTTCAATGTGTGCCTCAGTTTTGTAATAGTTAAATTACTAGAATACATCTTGCTATAAAATATTACTAGAAAATCAAATGATCAGGTGGCATTTATTGTTATTTTTTATAAATAAACACAATCTCTGGCATGCTAAAGTGATAAGTATTATAGAAATACTAGAGGCCCGGTGCACGAAATTCATGCGGAGGGGGGGGGTCGCCTCAGCCCAGCTTGCACCTTCTCCAATCTGGGACCCCTCGGGGGATATCTGACTGCCGGGTTAGGCCTGATCCCGGGGAATGGGCCTAAACTGGCAGTTGGACATCCCTCTCACATTCCTGGATAGCTGACTCCTAATCACTCACCTGCCTGCTTGGTCACCCCTAACTCCCCTCCTGCCGGCCTGGTCGCTCCTAACTGCACCTCTTTGCTGACCTGGTCATGCCTAACTGCCCCCCCCCCCGGCCGGCCTCATTGCCCCCAACTGCCCCCCCAGCTGGCTTAGTCACCCTTCACTGCCCCCCCCTGCTAGCTAATCACCCCCACTGCCCCCCTGCCAGCCTGGTTGCCCCTCACAGCCTGCTTGTTCAGTGTTTGTCGTCCCTCACTAACCCCCCTGCTGGCCTGGTCACCCCAAGCAGCCTGCTTGTTCAGTCGTTTGGTCATCCCTCACTAACCCCCCTGCTGGCCTGGTCACCCCAAGCAGTCTGCTTGTTCAGTCATTTGGTTGTCCCTCATTAACCCCCCTGCTGGCCTGGTCATAGGCAGCCATCTTGTGAGGGCGTGAGAGTTAATTTGCATGTTACCTCTTTATTATATAGGATTCAGATAGAGGAGACCTACAGGCTTGATTACAAGTGAGGTTTACTATTACAACCCAAATTTATTGCTTAAAAAAAAGCAGGGAGCCAACTAGAAACTGAACCAAATATAAGCCCTTGAAAGGCAAATGTAAATTGGATAAGCTTCACGATTACAAGAGCAACAAGAAAGAATTCAGAGGCAAGAATGAGAAGCAAATTGCATCTACTCTAAGTTGCTGCTAAAGAAAAAGAATAGTATACTATGAAAATACTTAATACAGATTGTAAAGAGATTTGTTCAAAGAGGATTTCCTAGAGTAGGTGGTATTTCAGTTAATTTTTTAAATGTGAAAAGGTTAGCTAGATAAGAAAAAGGTGTAGGGGTCCCGGATTGGAGAGGGTGCAGGCTGGGCTGATACTCCCCTTGCACAAATTTCGTGCACCAGGCCTCTAGTATTATATATAGGAAAGCTATTTTCTTTCACTAACACATTTTTTCTTGTATCTATTTTTTTTTACCATTATAGTGCAATTTATTTTATTTTTTAAACCTTTACTATTCAAAGTATTATATATGTCTCCTTTTTTCTCCCATTGACCCCTTATAGCCCGCCCTAGCCCCTCAACCCAGGTCTCCACCACTCTATTGATTGTGTCCATGGGTTATGCATATATACATACAAGTTCTTTGGTTGATCTCTTCCCAACCACCCACCAACCCCTACCTTCCCTCTGAGATTCAACAGTCTGTTCAAAGCTTCTATGTCTCTGGATCTATTTTGTTAATTGAATTTCACATATGAGTGAGATTATGTGATACTTCTCTTTCTCTGACTGGCTTATTTTGCTTAGTATATAACACCTCTAGGTCCCTCCATGCTGTCTCAAAGAGTAAGAGATCCTTCTTTTTTACTGCTGCATAGTATTCCATGGTATAAATGTACCACAGATTTTTTATTCACTCTTCTACTGGTGGGCACTTGGGCTGTTTCCAGATCTTAGCTATTGTAAATTGTGCTGCTATGAACATAGGGGTGCATACATTATTTTTGATTGGTGCTTCAGGTTTCTTAGGATATATTCCTAGAAGTGGGATCACTGAGTCAAATAGCAGTTCCATATTTAATTTTTTGAGGAAACTCCATACTCTTTCCATATGGTTGTACCAGTCTGCATTCCCACCAGCAGTATACTAGGTTTTCCTTTTCTCCACATCCTTGTCAGCACTTATTTGTTGATTTGATAATGCTAGTCATTCTCACAGCTGTGAGGTGATATCTCACTATGGTTTTAATTGGATATCTCTGAAGATCAGTGACTTTGAACATTTTAAAAACTTTTTAAATTGATTTCAGAGATGAAGGGAGAGGGAGAGAGAAATAGAAACATCTATGATGAGATGGAATCATTGATTGGCTGCCTACTGCATGCCCCCCACTGAGAATCGAGCATCCAAACAAGGCATCTGCCCTGACCAGGAATTGAACCATGACCTCCAGGTTCATGGGTTGACGCTCAGCCACTGAGCCATGCCATCCAGGCCGAACATTTCTTCATATGGCGCTTGGCCATTTGTACGTCCACTTAGGAGAAGTGTGTATTTAGGTCCTTTGCCCATTTTTAAATTGGATTGTTTGCTTTCTTTTGTTAAGTTCTATGAGTTCCTTATATATTTTGGATATTAATCCTTTATCAGATATATCATGCCAAATATGTTCTCCCATATAGTGGGCTCCCTTAGCATTTTGTTGATGGTGTCTTTTTCTGTGCAGAAGCTTTTTATTTTGATGTAGTCCCATTTGTTTATTTTCTCCTTAGTTTCCTTTGACATAGGAGATGTATCTGCAAACATATTGCTACGAGAGATGTCTGAGATTTTGCTGCCTATGGTTTCTTCTAGAATTTTAGGGTGTCACAACTTAGGTTTAAGTCTTTTATCCATTTTTAGTTTATTTTTGTGTATGGTGTAAGTTGGTGGTCTAGTTTCATTTTATTGCATGTATTTATCCAATTTTCCCAACACCATTTATTTAAGAGACTGTCTTGACTCCAGTGTATGCTCTTGCCTCCTTTGACAAATATTAATTGAGCACAATGGCTTGGGTCTATTTCTGGGTTCTTTGTTCTGTTCTGTTGATCTACATGTCTAT